ACTTAGAACATAAATAAATTAACAGAATAAAAGAACAAAGTTAAATTTATCAATTATATCTTGTTAAAGTCCTGCTGCCATGAGAAGAAAAAGAGAAATCAAAAATCTATTTCACATTTAAAGTTTGGGACCAGATAAAATGGGCCAGATTTGGCCCGCTGGCCTTGAGTTTGACACATGTTCTTATGTATGAATGATTGAGCTGAACAATAAGCTTTATTTGATCATAAATAAGCTTTATTTGATCATAAATAAGCTTTATTTGAACAAAAATAAGCTTTATTTGAACAAAAATAAGCTTTATTTGATCATAAATAAGCTTTATTTGATCATAAATGAGATTTTATCTTAAATATTATCTAAAGAATAATCCGAGCTGAGGATGTTCACCTGTTGGTCTCAGTTTCTGTCAGAACGTTTCCATCCCTGACCTGCTGCTTCAGACCAGTACCTGGTGAGCGCCAGCAGCAGCGGAGACAAACTGGTGGTTTCCAGTCTGAAGTCCAGTCCGGTCCCGGTGGTGGACCTGGCAGAGGGGGTGAGCGCAGACCTGCTCTGCTGGAACTTAAATGTTTTCTGTTCCTCACTTTAATCTTCACTGATGTGTTCAGAAAAAACAGACCCGAGTGTGTCTGAGCTCCTCGTCTCAGTTCCTGGTCAGCGGGGGTCTGGATCACTGCGTCCACATCTGGGACCTGAAGTCCAAGAGGCTGCACCGCTCCCTGAAGGTAAGACCTGACCCACCTGAAACCTGACACATCCACTCGGAGGAGAAGCGGTTCACCTGTGACGTGTCTCTTCAGGACCACAAAGAAGAGGTGACCTGCGTGTCCTTCAACGCCAACGACAGCTGCGTGGTCTCGGGCTCCACCAGCGGGGACCTGGTCCTCCACAGTCTGACCACCATCCTGTCCAGCAGAGCCTTTGGCCACGGCAGCAACCAGGTGAGGGGAGGTGGGGGTCTCACCTGGATGACCCCTCCTCCTCTGACGTGACCTCTGCTTCCTCCTCAGCCCATCCATGACTTGCGTCTGTCCACGGTGAAGCGCTCCCTGCTGGGCAGCGTGTCGGACAGCGGCACCGTGGTCCTGTGGGACTCCAACACCCAGAGGGAGCTGCAGGTGTTCGACAGCGCCCACAAGGCCCCGGGCTCCGGCCTGGCCTTCTCCCCGACCAGCGACCTGCTCGTCGTCAGCGTCGGCCTCGACAAGAAGATCGTCTGCTACGACACGGCCAGCAAGATGTGAGTATGCACACACTTCCTGTTTCAAACCTGGGGCCACTTCCTGTCAGGATACAAGACTTTAGTCCACTTCCTGTCAGAGGTACAAGACTTTAGTCCACTTCCTGTTTCAGAACTGAGGCCACTTCCTGTCAGCGGTACAAGACTTTAGTCCAC